TAAATTAAGTCATAATTCCGTTTGTACGTTCTAGCAGTCCCTACGGCGTGATTTATTAGTCAGGTGGAGGCGTTCCCGTCGTGTGTGTGTGTGTGTGTGTGTGTGTGTGTGTGTGTAGGAGAGAGAGTATATACATGAGGGTGTGGTATGGTATAAAGGTTTCACCAACGTATGTTTGAGGTGGACACACAATGACGTTGACCATCTTCTCAATAAACGCAGTGAAGTTTGATTTCTACTGAGGCTGTTTAATGCCTTTCTCACAATCGACAACGGAGTCCCTGTTGTCCGGTGGGACTCAGGAACATTGCGGATCATCGTCCCCTGCACGTTCCAGTTTGCAGTGCAGTGCACTCTGGGCTGGCTGCAGCTGTTAGCACTGGCTGCCCTGGCACGCAGCTTAGAGCGGGATTTTCAAATGCATTTAGTGCTGGCGTAGCTCTGCGCCCCTGGAGTCAATGAGAATATTCCCACTGGCTCCAGCAGGAGCAGAGCTAGGCCAGGGCTGAGTGCATTTGAAAATCCCACCCTCCGTTTTTAGTACTGGGCTGACTGGTTCCAGTTAAGATCGGGGCCCCATTTTGCCAGGCACTAGAGAAACACATGTAACGATATGGGCCAAACCATAAAGAGCTTGCGATCTAAAACATGTACTTTAAGTTTGTAATTACACCTCTACCTCGATATCACGTGACCCGATATAATACGAATTCAGATATAAAGCGGTGCTCCGGGGGGTGGGGAGGGGAGCGGGGCTGCGCACTCCGATAGATCAAAGCAAGTTCGATATAACATGGTTTCACCTATAACGCGGTAAGATTTTTTGGCTCCCGAGGACAGCGTTATATCGAGGTAGAGGTGTACATGAATAAATACCGACGTTCACTAGCTGACCCTGGGGCTAGCCCATGATATAAGGTTGGCTGATCTGACCACTATTATATTGGGAACCAATTAATTAATTCCTCTCCCCCCGCAGATGATCAATTTGGAGTGTGGGAGTAGTTTACCTTTATTAAAGCATGTATGGCAACAGATGTTATTGCTGGGTATAGAATTCCCCAGTCCTTTGATAATTCCAGCTACAGTATTTGACCTTCTAAGACCTTCTGCAGCAGTGAATTTCCTCAGGCTAGCTGACTGGTTTGAGATGACTTAGTTCGTTTATCCTAAATGGATTCACTTTGGATAATTATGATAATTACAAAAATATTTACCCTGTTTAATCATCAAGGGGCTTGTAAACATTCATTAAAGCATCACAGAGCTCCTGTAGACGGAGGTTCGTATGAATTATTGCACCTGTTTTACAGATGGGGAAACTAATGAGGAGTGAATGGGCCATAAGGTCAGGATTTTCAAACCTCGGTGCCTATGTTTAGGTACCTAAAGCCTTATTTAAACACCTAAGTAATTGGTTTGATGTTCAAAAGTGCTGAGTACCTAACAGCCCCTACTGAAGTCAAGAGGAGCTGCTGCGTGCTAGGAACGTCTGAAAATCACGCCACCTATTTAACTACTTCAGTAAGGATACAGGAGCTTGAACTGAGGCTGCTAGTTTTGAAAATATTGACCCTAAATCTGTATTTAGGCATCTAAGTAAAAGTCGATGGATTCACAGAGAGCACGAGACCATCCGGTTTGCTACATTAAGGAGCTCTGGGAGCTTAGCACTTCTGAAACACCGGTCTCTTCCATTTCAGTGCCTAATGTAGGAGACTAACTCTGTGTTGCTAGATTTGAAAATGTTGGTCTATTTCAAAGCTGGGATTTTAACGGACTCCTAAAAGGCACGTGTTAGTGGCTAGGAATCGGGTAATATCCCTTAAAATAGTTTGTGAGCCCTCTAGTGGTGCTCACTGTATTACATGAATTAGAAGCCACAGAGCCCGACCAGAGCAGCCGTGTGTATAGGTAGCCAAGGCTTGCACATTGTGTGTAGGGTGACCAGACAGCAAGTGTGAAAAATCGGGACGGGGGTGGGGGGTAATAGGAGCCTATAGAAGAAAAAGACCCCAAAATCGGGACTGTCCCTATAAAATTGGGACATCTGGTCATCCTAATTCAATATACATAATTATTCGGGCCCCAGCATGCCTGTGTAGCTTCTTCATTTATTGTTGTGTAAAGATAAAATCCCACAACACTATTAGAGTAAGTCTCCCGCCAGAGGACGGAAGAATATAGAGCTCCTCTGCCCACCTTGCATATACTGAGAGGGCAAGATGCAGCTTCTATCAGCGAAGTTGATAGAAAAAGTCCTTCTGGAATACCAGAAATAACTTACCCACCACCCAGTAGCCTGTGATCTTATTCTCAAGTGTGATGTTACTTACGTAGTAAACGAATTTGAACAATTAGCTTTAATATTTGCTTTAATATTGAAATAAATCCCCCTGCTTTGCTCTCAATTCCTGCCTGCTGAATTCCACCTTTCTCTCCCCTGTAGGGTGACTCCGGTGGCCCCCTGGTCACTGAAGATCGTAGAGGAATCTGGTACCTTGTTGGAATAGTGAGCTGGGGAGACGAATGTGCTAAACCAAATAAACCGGGCGTCTACACTCGAGTGACTTACTATCGGGATTGGATTGCCGCAAAAACTGGCATCTGAAGGAGTCACAAGTGGGTTACACTGCACAGGCTGGGTATACAAGCCAGGAACTTCAAAACACTCTTTACCAGTCTATGCTCTGTTTACCGTCCAAAGCAAGTGCCGGCTTAGCTTGTGGGGATATTCCTACCACTCAGGGACTCGTCTCTGCACTGAATTGCTCTGGCCTGTCAGAGGAGAGGAACAGACTCATTCTAACTTGCACAAGGAGCACAAACTACTGACCGATTTACCACTTAGGAAAGTGCATCTACTGCTTCCAGGAAAGGCAGGTTATTCTGCATCCTCAGCCCAGGACTGAGAATAACCCTGCTTTCCACCCTCTGTGCTACTCACTTCCCGCTGGGATCAGATGTCTTGGCCACCGTGTTCCAGGCTGAGCAGAACGTCCCCCTGGTTGGAGCCCATCCATGCAAATCGTCAGTCACCTGGACAGGCTGCAATTGAGCCACAGCATTTCCCTCCAGTTGCCGAGTGCCTGGCCTCCTGCATCACCCCACCACAGCGGTGGAAATCAACCAAAGTTTACTCCATGGCAGCACAGGGCATTAGCAGTAGGCCACGGCACTTGACTTTAAACTGTACCATCACTACTGGCATCAGAACCATGTTAGAACCAAAGGCAGGTAGCATTGTCTTCTCCTGCAGCACGACATGGGGCCGTGTCACTGAGCACTTTCTACTGGCGGTACTCAACGGATGGCAGTACTCAACGGATGGCCCAGGGAGGCCACTTGTGAACTGGGTCACGCCACACACAGAAATCCTTGGCCAGTGTGTAATTAACATTTAGAGCTACCCTCCAGCAATGAGAAACCCCAAAAGAGAAGAACACCCACCTCCAACGTGGCTGAACTTCCTGGGGGAGGAGCTTTGACCCAGGAGACCGCACTTACTGATCATGTACATTGCAGTAGTGCCTAAGACCCAACCAAGAATAGAAGACAGTCCCTGCCCCAAAGTGCTCACAGTCTAAATAACCCCTTAGTCTCTCCTTCCTCCCTCCCCTCAGGAAGCAAAGTAGAGTCTGTATCCCTTTGCTGGGCACCAATCGGGATACAGGCTAGTCCTTCCACTCCTCATTCCAAATAGCCATTTCTCCTGTGCCTTTTAAAAAAACCCCAATACTCTACTTCTCACTACTGTGGAGCAGAGCCATGTGCAGGTGTGTCAAGCACACGTGCTCTGCACTGGGCATCCAGCGAATCCCCATAGCTTCCCCCATGCCTCACCTTAAGTCTGCCCCCTGGGGAGCTGAGCAACCCTGTCACTCGCTAGATCGCCAACAAGTTGCTAGATCAATGAGGTCCCACATCCAGCCGTCACCCATACACGCCAGAGGAGAGAGAAATCAACAGAGGAAATGCCGGGTTGCAGACAGCTGCATCCAGTCCAGTGCTACCAGCCACAGCTACCTCATACACCAGACAAAAAACACCACCTTCAACCTCATGCCAATCCTTGGAAGATCTGGGGTCAATGAACCCATCACCACGCACAATCATCACCAGTAAACCTCCTACCTGCTCTTACCACTGGCACTTTAATGCATTTCTAGGTTGATGTGTCTCATGCCCTTGAGCCCCAGTAAGAGGCTCTGCTGTTTTTCAGGGCTCTGTTTTATGCAGTACATGAAAACCAGCATCTCTGAGGGAGCCTCCTTATGTTCCGCCCAGCGACCATCATAATCACTGTAGCAGAACGTAGCTTCACAAACATACTGCATAATACAGGCTACTTGACTGCGAGATACAAAGGGCAAATCTGATTCTTCTGGTGATAAGTCATCTTTCTAGGAAGGCGATCTAATTTGTGAATCTACGTGTAGAGACCCCCCCTATGCAAGTGAGTGTGAACTAGTTGGCAAAGTACTTTGGGCTGAGATTTCCAAGGGGTCTAAAGGAGTTGGGCACCCAAATCCCACTGAATTTCGATGACATACCTAACTCCCTTAGGCTCTCTTAGGCCTTAGCGCTGATTGTGCCCAGAAATCAGGTAACCGGCTGTCTAAACGGGCTAATTTACCTCCATAATTTTGCACCTGCCGTTGATTGTTGGTGCAAAATCAGAGGCTGGGTTGAGACCCTTTAAAAACCAGGCCCTAATATTTCATATCTAATAAAAGGTTGAATTGGAAACCATTCTAGAAGGTCATAGACAAGGCTGAAAAGGTTACAGCAAAAGGTGCCACTAACAGGGTGCCCAAGCTGAGAGCCCCTAGGGCCTAATTTTCATTAGTGCCGAGCACCCATGACTCCAGTTGAAGTCAAAAGGGCCTGCGAAAGCAGAGTCCTCTCGAGATGGGCACCAAAAGACTGAAGCACCCAAAATCGGTCGTCTTAATGACCGGTCCCTATCCTACAGTGAGAGCAGTGGGTTTAATCCTACTCCCTTGGATGGAATGTTACCGGGATCGGATTCTATCAGCTCAATCCTGTAAAGACTCACGTAAGCGTGCATTGTGAGTAGCCCTATTGAAGTCAATGGGACTAGTCACAGAGCATAACTTTGAGCAAGTGAGTAAGTCTTTGCAGGATCAGGGCCCTTGTATGCAATCCGGTTTTTGGAGGAAAGGAAGCAGTTTAGTTTTTTCAGAAATTTTCCCTGTGAGAAAGTGCGGAAAACCAAAGCAGCCCAAGGAGGCAACATGTCCATAAAATTCAGGGCCTTACTGACTAGCTGGGTTAATAGTTGGATTGTTTGCCTCCTATGTCTCTCTAGCTGATAAGTTCTTGCCTGTTTTTGAAGCCAGGGTCAGTATCTGTCCTAGAACACATTGTCAGAAAAAGGGAATCCATGTCAGAACTAAAGATGGAACGGCAAATATCTTTTGATATGATCCATGGTGGAAAAGAGGAGTGGTGTCAAAATCAATGTAAATTTCATATGTAATGTTATTAAAATGGATTTTTAACAATGGTCATAGTGTGATTGTCTTTCCTGGTTTATAGAAGACACTAGATCCTGGGGGACTGTCATATGTTTCAGAACCGTTTATACTAATTGTATATCATTATTTCCCCAGTCTTGTGGCCTGCGCTCTTTGGGCCTGACTCTCATTGACACTAAAGGTAACATTTTCAAAAGAACCTAAGTGAGTTAGGAGCCTCATTCCCATTGACATGGGCGCCTGAGTGCCCAAGTCACTTTCAAAAATGGAAATTAGGCTCCTAAGTCCCTTAGGTGCTTTAGAAATGTCCCGTGAAGGCTGCTCTGCACTGCTCTGGCAGCAGACGGGGGCCTCAGAGTGGATGTAAGTTGCAGCTTCTCTCTCTTTTAAGGCTCATTTAAATGAGCATCAGGCCTTTCAATTTTCTCTGACTTCAAAAGTCTCTAACTCGCAGGAGGACAGGCTGTGATAGCCTTACTCACATGGACAACCCCCTTGACACCAGTGGCAATTAGGATGGGCTGCTAGCTTCCTTAGGCTCCTTTGATAATTCCAGCCAAAGCCAGCCCTACAGTGCCCCTAGACAGGAGTGCCGCCAGCTTTTCTGCCGCCCTAGGCGGCAGAAGGTCCCGCCCCGAAATGCCGCCCCGCCCAGAGGCGGTGGAAGGTCCCGCCGCGGAAATACCGCCCCGGTCGCCACCCCCCAAATCGCCTAGGTTGCCTAATGGGTTGCGCCGGCCCTGCCCCTAGACCCTAGTTAGATTCAGCTGTTCGGGACAAGCTGTAGTTGATAGCTTTGTGCACAAACAACAGCTCCAGAGACAGCAGGAGTAAAAGACAACTTCTGCAGCTACCATGCTGGCCACTAGAGGGCGAAATCACTCCGTCACTTAGATGCACAAATTTTTCAAACCTGGCTGCCCAGAGCTAGGCTCCTAAACTCAGGTCTAGCTAGGGTGACCAGACAGCAAGTGTGAAAAATCGGGACGGGGGTGGGGAGTCATAGGAGCCTATATAAGAAAAAGACCCCAAAATTGGGACTGTCCCTATAAAATCGGGACATCTGGTCACCCTAGGTCTAGCCAGCTACTTGGAAGTGACCTGACCTGCAAAGGTCTTATGCCAAAATATGGATGCGGGAGACTCACTTTAGGCACCCAGGTTTGGAAAGGTCGGCCGAGGGCCGTACATTCTCTGGCAATTGCAAAAAGTTGGAAAAAGTGGTTTGGGGATAAAGCAAATAGTTTGCTTTGATTTTGAACTTTTTTACATTTTAAAAATGTTTTTTAACAATAAAATTAAAAGAAATTTTGAAGCAAAGTCCTTTCAGACCAACCCCCGCCCCCAAATATTTCTTTTTGAAAAATGAAACATTTCGATTGTTTTTTGGGGGGGATTTTTTTGGGCGCGGGGAAGAGGGTTAAACTGACAGAGTGAAACTGACACAAAGTTGTGAAACATTTTGGTGTCTCCAAATCTG